AAATATAATAATAATAATAATAATTAATCAAAAGACACACATACACAGGCTACAGCCCTTGCTGCTGCTTAGCCTCCTCCTCCTCCTGCTAGCGCTAGTGCTGCTGCTGCTGCTGGTGCTGATCCTCCTCCTGCTGCTGCTAGTGCTGCTGGTGCTGGTGATTGTGCTGCTGCTGCTGGTGCTAGTGCTGCTGGTGCTAGTGCTGCTGGTGCTAGTGCTGCTGGTGCTGTTGTTGCTGCTATTGCTGCTGCTGTTGCTGCTGATATTGCAGCTTCTGCTGCTGCTGAAGATGCATAATAAACAAATAAAATAAATAAAATAAATAAATATATATATATATTCTTACTTAGCATTTTTTGTATAGTAAGGAATACCGCTGATTATTTCGTCAAATCCACCGAAGGTGTCCCTTTGTTTATTTTTTTGCATTTGTTTGATGCTTACAGCTTCTTTACTATTTCTAAATAGTATATTATGTCTCTCTAGAGGTACATAGCCTCCATATCCAGAGGGATAATCACTCTTTATGCAGACTTCAAGCTGAAAAGAAAAACAAACAAACAAATGCAAACAATTCAGTCAGGTGTATACGCACCTCTAAATTATATATATATGTAAATATATATATATATATATATTTATGTTTGTTTTTATTTGTGTTTGTATTTATTGTTATATTTATGTTTATGTTTATATTTATATTTTCTACAATTAACACATCCCTTTGCTCTGCTGGTGTATACATACACCGCAAATACTTTATTAAAATATATTCTTGTAAATCTTCACAGTTATACAAAAATATTTATTTATTATTTAATTATACATGCAAATACACTGCACTACAAATAAGAAAACAACAACGATTATAATAATGAATTATATTATAACACATAAATCACACCCAAATATACTAATGCATGCATGCATGCGTAGTAGTGGGATTAGTAGTAGCCATGCATGCATGCATGCATGCATACTCCTGCATGCATGCATGCATTCTCCTGCATGCTGCTGCATGCATGCATATTGCTGCATGCATGCATGCATGCATGCATACTGCTGCATGCATACTGCTGCCTGCATGAATACTGTTGCATGCATGCTGCTGCATGCATGCATGCATGCATACTGTTGCATGCATGCATACTAGCATGACGCCTTCTTGTTGGTTTTGTTTTGGGGTCTTACAGGTGAATATACACCTAACAATGTCTCATTAATAATATTATCTTACTAATATTATATTATTATTTTTATTACTATTGCTACTATTAATATAATAATAATAATAACAATAATAATAATAATAATAATAATTATTATTATTATTGTTATTTTTATTATTGTTTTGTTTGTTTGCTGCTAGCGAGCCTCGCACTCACCCCTTTGCACATATCGTTATAAGAGGTTCTGTAGTGGTTGGGGTCTGTCTTTATTTTTTTAATGTTGCTGCAATCCATTAGCTCCATTTTGTTTTAAAATAATTAAATAAAAAGAAAAAGAAGAATAAATAAATGCAGAGTCTTGCTTACGTATCGGTGTATGTACACACCACAGGCGAGCGGTGGCGCTCCGCTGTGCAGCAAGAAAAAAAGAAATATATAAAAAATTAAAAAGAAAATTATAATTATTTTTTATTTTTTATTTATTTAGTGATGAATATACATTAAAAATATATTTTTTCTTTCTTTTGTTCTCTGACAAGCCAAGCCCCAAGCGCGGGGCTGTCGTGCATGCGCTGCTGTACAGACAACTGAAGATACGCAATAATTAATATATTTTTTCTGCAGAAAAGACAAAAAATATATAAATTATTAAATATATTTAAATATTTTAATTTAAAAAACAATAAATATTGATTGGATACTGCTCCGTTGCTGCTGCCGACGATACAACAGAACGAGCGAGGCAGCTGCCTATACAGCGCACAACTTACCTCAATGAAATTCCTCCTATTTTTGCTGTTGTTTTATTTCTGATTGATTTAATTTAATTAAATATATTTAATTTAACTGATAATTACTTCCTTACCCCACCCAATTGCAGCCTCAAACAGAGGATGCAGTATAAGAGAAGAGGGGCATAGAGAGCAAGAGATTAATTTCTTATGTTGCCTCTGTTTGTTTATTTTTCACGCATAGAACTCCAAAACTTAAAATAATTTCTGCATTTAATTCTTTTGCTTCGCTCTCTTTTTCTTTCTTTTATCTGGATGCCTTCGGGCGTGTCTCTCAGGTGTATAGGCAGGTGTGCAGCAACAAAAAGAAATGTATGCTGTCTCTGACTGCATATCAGGTTTAGTATCAACGATAAAACAAAGTGTTTATTGTGCATGCTCCTAATTAACAGCAGCAAAGGCCCTCACCGCCAAGTGAGGCGCTCGCAGTACTGCTGCTGCTGCTGCTGCTGCTGCTGTAGCTGGTGCAGCAGCTGTCGCTGCTCCTGAGTTGCCCTCGTGCTCTTGCTGCTGCTGCTGCTGCATGGCTCATGGTGTCGCTGCTCCCTTTGGCTGTACGTCTGCTGCCACCGGCTTTATCTGCTGCTGTTGCACCAGCAGCAGCAGCAGCAGTAGCAACAGCAGAACTAGGAGCAGTGTCCTTCTTGAGTTATCTGCTGATGCTCTCTGCTGTTTTGTTTATTTTTATTTTTATGTTTGTGTTCATTTTTATCTATTTTGTTTTGTTTCTTAGCCTGCTACAAACGGAGACAGCAGATATCGAGACAGCGAAATGCAGCAGAGACAGCAGAGACAGCAACTGGGGCTTTATTTGCATGCACTATTTGCTGCTGTCTCTTCGTTATTTGCTTCTTCTTTCTGTCCCTTTTGTCTGTCTCCTCTTTGTACAGTTGGAGGGATAACGGTTTCTTCTCACCCGGGTTGGCTAGCTGCATCTAGCTAGCTGGCTAGCTAGATCTGGCTAGCTACATCTGGCTAGCTAGGTAGCTAGCTAGCTAGCTAGATCTAGCTAGCTAGGTAGCTAGCTAGCTACTCACCTTCTAGTCTGTGTGGCTAGCCAGCTAGCTATTTCCGCAGCTTGCTAGCTAGCTATTAGTCTAGCTAGCGACATACCTACAGGCCCAGCTAGCTAGCTAGCTAGCTAGCTTACCGTTGTCTAGCTAGCTAGCTAGCTAGGTAGCTAGCTAGCTGTTACTGCTCGCCGCAGGTGTCTCCAGAGCAGCAGCTGCGTAGAAGGGAGGGGCACGAAGAGAAGAGACAGCAGATGCTGATTGTCTGTCTCTTTGTTTGTCTTCGTTGGTTTCGTTTGTCTTCTTTCTGCTGCAAAAGGAGACAACTCTGTGTACTTAAACCCCTTAAAGCGTAAGAGTGTCTCCTCCTGCTGCTGCAGCAGCAGCTGCTGCTGCTGCTAGCTGCAGATAGAGACGCACTCAGCAGCAGCAGCAGCAGCAAGAGCGCAGCACGAAGCACCACCTCAAGTGCTTCATCTCTCTGGCTAGCTGGCTAGCCAGCTAGCTAGCTAGCTAGCTAGCTAGCTAGCTAGCTGAAGGGGAGCAGCTTCAGAGCTTGCTAGAGGAGACAGCTGCTGCTGCTGCTGTATAGAAACAAAACAAATGCAGAGAGAGGCAGCAAACAGAGGGATAGGTCTCTGCTGCAGCTACTTGAAGATAAACACATATAGAAACAGCTAGTTAGCTGCAGCATAGCTAGCTAGCTGCAGCATAGCCAGCTAGCTAGCTGCAGCACCGAGGGGCTTGGGGTATAGTTTGCTGCTGCAGCAGTTTGCTGCTGCAGCAGTTTGTTGTGGAGACCGAAGAGCAGCAGAAAGACAAAGAAAGAGAGACGAAAAATAATAAGGAGACAGAGACAAACAAACAAACAGCAGCAGAGCAGCAGCAGCAGCAGCAGCAGCAGCAGATATACACATATTGATAGAGAGATATAATTGAGTGTACTGGTTTATTTTGCTGCTGTCGGCAGCAGCAGATGGTGTTGCTGCTGCTGTTGCTATTGCTGTTGCTGCTGCTGCTGCTGCTGTTTGCTCTACACGATTTATTTATTTGTTTTTGTTGTTGCTGCTGCTGCTGCTGCTGCTGCTGCTGCTGTGTTTGTCTCTTATACACTCCGCGTAGGAGGGCCCCGTTGCGGTTTCTTCCTATAAACTGCAGCAGCAGCAACTCATTTGTATACTGTATCTGCTGCAGCAGCTCTTCTTACTGCAGCAGCAATAGCAGCAGCAGCAACAACAGCAGCAACAGCAACAGCAGCAGCGGCAGCAGCAGCAGCAGCAGTTGTTTGTGTGTTGGGGTTGTTTATATAGATGCTAGATTTCTTTGTGCAGCAGCTCAATGTATATATCCTAAAAACAGCAAAATATATAAATAAAATTATTTTAATTTGTTTATCTTAAATTATTTCTGAAGATAAACTAACGTAGAGGTGCGTTTACACCAGCAGCAGCAGCAGCAGCAACAGCAGCAGCAGCAGCAGCGTGTTGCTGCGGGTTGTTGTTAGGGGGGAGAGCCACCCCCACGACTTTCTCTTTTGCTGCTCGCTGTTGTCTTTCTTTTTATTATGTCTGCTGCTTCTTAATTTCATTTTAAGTATTTTATGTAGCTGCTGCAGCAACAGCAGCAACAGCAGCAACAGCAACAGCAGCAACAGCAACAGCTGCAACGCCAGCAACACCAACAGCAGTAGCAGCAGCAACTTATCTGCTCGCCTCCTCTGCCCACACACTCAACAGTTATTTCGCTCTGCAGCAGCACAGGGGCCCCCCTAACCCCAGCAGCAGCAGCAGCAGCAGCAAGAGCAGCAGCAGCAGCAGCAACAGCAGCAGCAGCAGCAGCACAAGTCTTTAGCCCCCTTTCTTTCTCTCAATACACCTCAAGCTACTGCACATACACCTCAGCACACTGCCTATACACCGCAGGCCCCACATTATACACCCCTTTGGCTTTATATATACACATCTAGCTGCGTATACACTTCAAGCCCTCTGCAGCAAACGACAACCCCGGAGGCAGCCGGAGGCAGCGGGATGCCTCGTGTGGGGGCAAGCGTTGCTGCAGCAGCTGCAGCAGCAGCAGCAGCAGCAGCAGCAGCGGAGAAAACGCCCGGTGCTTCAGTGTTCCGCGCGCGGACGCGCAAGCAGCAGCAGCAGCAGCAGCAGCAAGATGAGCAGCAGCAGCAGCAGCAGCAGCAGCAGCAGCGAGTCTTAAGCCCGCAGCTTACTCCTATAGAGCGCCGCTTGACTCGTTTGTCTCTCCGCACCTGTCCCTCTACTGCAGCAGCTCGAGGATGCAGCAGGCAGGGCCCTTCTGCTGCTGCTGCTGCTGCTGCTGCTGCTTCTCCCTTGGCTTCCAGAGAAAGCAGCGCTGCAACGCCCACTAAACACAGCAAAAGCAGCAGCAACAGCAGCAGCAGCAGCAGATGCAAGACCCCTGTGTCTTGTCGTCGCCAGCCTAGAGCTCGCGTGTCTCACTCTACAGGTGCAGCAGCAGCAACAGCAGGAGCAGGTGCTGCTGCTGCTGCTGCTGCTGCCTCGGGCTGCTCCTCTTGTGTCTCCACCTCAGCCTCTTCTCCCGTTACGCGAAGGCAAGGGGCAGCAGCAGCAGCAGCAGCAGCAACAGCAACAGCAAAAACAACAACAGCAGCAGCAACTGCGACGGCGGACAGCCTCAGCCCAAGGCGCCCTACAACGCACACCAGCAGCAGCGGCAACAGCAGCAGCAACAGCAGCAGCAGCAGCAGCAGCAGCATTGTCTGGGGTATAAAAGAGAGACAGGAACTGTACGAGACAGCGCTGCAGTGTCTACGCCCCTCCTCTTGTAATTATGTTGGGTGCAGAGAAGAATATGAAGCTGCTGTCTCCTCGTTTATTAATAAGTAAGCTCTGCTGTCTCCTTTTGTCTTTGCTTTTATTTATTTTTATTTTTGCTGCTGCCTCCTTTTGTCTTCTTCATCTTTGTTTCTATTTGTTTTTATTTTTGCTGCTGTCTCCTTTTGTCCCCTTTTGTCTTTGCTTTTAATTATTTTTATTTTTGCTGCTGTCTCCTTTTGTCTTGTCTCTCTTATTTTTTGTGTTTGTTTTTTATTCTGCCTTTGTCTTCTTTGTCTTTGTCTTTATTTTTATTATTATTATTATTATTATTATTTATTTTTATTATTATTTTTATTTTTGTTTGTTTGGTTGTCTCTCTTTTATGTCTTTTATATCTCATTTTTGTCTTTTATTTAAGAACACAACTATAAACATAAATATAAATATAAATATAAATATAAATATAAATATAAATGCATGCATGCAGACGTATAGAAGAAAGAAGAGGAGGTTTAATATATTTATCAGGCGCAAGCGGCGTGGGGAAGACGACCTTCGCGCTGCATGCACTCGCTGCTGCAGCAGCAAATCCACAGCATGTGCATGCATGCAATTCGCAGGTAATTATAATATATATATATATATTTATAAATGTATATAAATGTATATATATATATGTATATATATATATTTATTTATTTGTTTATATGTAGATAGAGAAATATATAGGCGTATATATATATATATATTTTATGTATGTATTTGTATGTATGTATTTATAAATGCATATATATAGAAATATGCATTAATATATATATAAATAAATATATATATATATATCATCTGTATAAATATACATGTAATATATACATAATATATATATATATATATTTATCATCTGTATAAGTATAAATGTCTATATAAATATACATATAATAAATATACATATAATATATATATATATATATATGCAGAGAGAGAGAGACAGAGAGCAAGAAATAGAGATAGATAGATAGATAGATAGAGAGACAAAGCAGCAAATATAATATTGCGATAATATTAATCTTAAAACAGTTTATCTCTCTCTTCTCGGGTGTATGTGCAGGTTGTCTCTGTCTCTTGTTCTCATCGCGAAAAAGATGTGCAGATTCTCTCGGAGCTTCTCTCGCGCATTTTAGCTAAATCCGCAAACCGACAGGCCCTCCATAAGCAAGTCCAGGGTTTAGGGTTTAGGGTTTAGGGTTTAGGGTTTAGGGTTTGTTGTTTATTGTTTTGTTGCTTATTGTTTAGGGTTTAGGGTTTATTTTTGACGATTTATTGTTTGGTGTTTCTTATTTAGGGTTTGTAGTTTCGGGTTTATTGCTTATTGTTTAGGGTTTAGGGTTTAGGGTTTAGGGTTTGTGGTTTAGAGTCTATTGTTTTGTTGTTTGTTGCGTAGGGTTTAGGGTTTACTGCTGACGGTTTATTTTTTATTGTTTACTGTTTATTATTTAGGGTTTAGGGTTTAGGGTCTATTGTTTATTGTTTATTGTTTAGGGTCTATTGTTTAGGGTTTAGGGTTTGTTGTTTAGGGTTTGTTGTTTAGGGTTTAGGGTTTAGGGTTTAGGGTTTGTGGTTTAGGGTCTATTGTTTTGTTGTTTGCTGTGTAGGGTTTAGGGTTTACTGCTGGCGGTTTATTGTATATTGTTTATTGTTTAGGGTCTATTGTTTAGGGTTTAGGGTCTATTGTTTAGGGTTTATTGCTTAGGGTCTACGGTTTAGGGTTTGTTGTTTAGGGTTTAGGGTTTAGGGTTTAGGGTTTAGGGTTTGTGGTTTCAGGGACTTGTGGGAGCGGCTGCAGTTAAACGGCGTCGTCGGAGCAGCAGAGCGATTTACGCGGCTCTCCAGTAGAAGCCCCAAGCTGTGGTAATGCAGCATTTGCTGATGTTGCTGCTGTTGCTGCTGTTGCTGCTGCTGCTGTTGCTGCTGCTGCTGTTGCTGCTGCTTTTGTTGCTGTTGCTGTTCTGTTTGCGTTTTTTATTTTGCCGTTGTTGCTGCTGTGTCTTTGATTGCTGTTGCTTCTGCTGCTTTCTTTGCTGCTGCTGCTGCTGCTTTCTTTGCTGCTGCTGCTGCTGCTGCTTTGCTTGCTGCTGCTTTGCTGCTGCTGCTGCTGCTGCTGTAAGGTAAACCTTTTGCTGCAGTTTATTTGTGCATGCAGCAATCAGCAACAGCACTGAGCTGTCTTCGCACCTCTCTGGATTGAACATAACTTCTTTAGTTTTCTCCCCGTATTCTGAGAAGGACATTTTGCGCATAATTAATATTAAACTACATCAGGCTCAGCAGCAGTTTATGCTGAGGAGACAGCAGGGCCTTCGCGCAGCAGCAGCAGCAGCAGCAGCATCAGAAGCAGCACCAGAAGCAGCACCAGAAGCGCAGCAGCAGCTACCTCAGCTATTCTCTCCTGCTGCGCTGCTGCTGTTTGCAAGAAGAGCAGCAAATGCAAATGGGGACATACGAATGGCGCTCAGCGGACTATGGTGAGCCTGCAGCAGCAGCAGCAGCAGCAGCAGCAGCAGCAGCAGCAGCAGCAGCAGAAGCAGAAGCAGCAGCAGAAGCGGGAGAGGCAGGCTCTTTGCATGCGCCATCGTAGCTGCTGCTGATGCTGCATGCTTGATGTATATGTTTATAAATAATTTATATATATTATATTATAATATATATAAATAAAATAAATAATTAATTAATTTGTTGTTGTGCTGCTTCAGTCGGGCAATAGAGGAGAAATTATCTGAATTGCAGACAGAGGCTGCTGCTGCAGATGCTGCAGCAGCTGCAGCAGCTGCAGCAGCAGCAGAGACAAGAAGAGCAGCAACAGCAGCAGCAGCAACAGCAGCAGCAGCAGCAGCAACAGCAGCAGCTGCTGCCGCCAGATGCGAGTCTTCTCTGCTTCGCAGCAAACGGCGGCAGCCTCTCGATGTTGCTGCTGCTGCTGCAGCAGCAGCAGCAGACAGCAGCAGCCCCCAAACACCACAACAGCAGCAACAACAACAGCAACAGCAGCAGCAGCAGGATGAGGGTGGTTCTTGTAGCCCTGTTTCTGCTTTTTCTGCTTCTTCTGCTGCTGCTTCTGCTGCTGCTTCTGCTGCAGCTTCTGCTGCTGCTTCTGACTGGAGTTGCGGTGTATCACCTTTAATAAAAGCTGCTCGCTGCAGCGAGGGTTTTTCGTCTGTCTCTGCAGCTGTTAGAAGAAAACCCCCGCTGCTGTATGCACTTGAGTCTGAGTTATATAACCCTGAAGCACCTCCTACACTTCTTTCTCTCTCCCGCAGCGTCAATGAAAACGCAGGTCAGTCGAGGGTTTAGGGTTTAGGGTTTAGGGTTTAGGGTTTTAGGGTTTTAGGGTTTTAGGGTTTTAGGGTTTAGGGTTTAGGGGTGTTTGGGTCTCTTGATTGCACCAATGGAGATGAAAGTAGTTGCTGCTGCTGCTGCTTCTACTGCTGCTGCTGCTGCTTCTACTGCTGCTACTGCTGCTGCTGCTGCTGCTGCTGTGTACAGAAGATAATCCTTCTAGCAGCACTCCAGGGACCCCTGGCTGCGCAGCAGCAGAGTTGGAGGGCAATGCTCGAACGCCTCAGAGCCTGTGCAGCACAGCGCCTTCTCCTGCTGCTGCTGCTGCTGCTGCTGCTACTGCTGCTGTTGCTGCTGCTGCCCTCACCCCGGCTGCTGCAGCAAAGGAGCAGCTGCGGCGCCTACGCGCAAAGGCAGGCGAAGACACGCAGCAAACCAACACCAGCAGCAGCAGCAGCAGCAACAACAGCAGCAGCAGCGACAGCAGCAGCAACAGCAGCAGCGACAGCATCAGCAGCAGCAGCACTTGCGGCAAAGGCCCAGATGCCGCTGCAGCAGGCAGCGAGGTATCTCCTGCTTCTGTGTGCCCCTCCCCTCCGTCAGCAGCAGCAGCAGCAGCAGCAGCAGCCGCAGCAGCAGCAGCAGCAGCAGCAAGATCCCCTCAAGTATCTTCTTCCGCTTTGACTGAGGAGCAGCAGCTTGTTCCTTGTTGCAGCATGGATTCTCTTGCAGCAGGTTTGCTGCTGCAGCAGCTACCGCACTCTGATGCTGCTATCCGCAGCAGAAGAGACAGTAAAAGCAGCAGCAGTTGTGTTTCATCTACTCAATCAATTCGTAAGGGTTTAGCTAATCTAAGGGGCCCCCGTACCCTCACCACCAGACGCCGCATTACTGATGGGGGCCCCTTAGGGGCCCCTGGGGCCCCCGTTACCTTAGGGGCCCCGGGTGGCCCCCCAGGGGCCCCATGCAGCTTGGGGGCCCCAGGGGGCCCCCCAGGGGCCCCTGGTACCCTGGGGGCCCCAGGGGGCCCCTCGGGGGCCCCTGGGGGCCCCCCTGGGGGTATATTAGGAAGTGGATTTCGGCGATCTGCATGCAGCATTGGTGATGATGAGGGTACAGTTTGCGGTATGAGTGTAGGGGGCCCCACAGGGGCCCCAACATCCGTTGTCGGGGGGGCCCCATTGGGGGCCCCTTTAGGGGCCTCTATTGGAGGGGGGGCCCCTAGTTTAAGTCAGAGAGCATGCGATGTAATCGGAGTCGGGGTAATGAATGCGAAAGCCGCTGCGGTGTACGGGCAGCAGCAGCAGCAAATGTTATGTCTTATACAGGGGCTGCCTTTAATGCAGAGAGTTTATTTGTTAGCTGCTTGTAGATCTGCGCAAAAGAAATTCTACAATAGAGGGTCTTCTGCTGCTTCTTCGTCTGCTGCTGTTGCTGCTGCTGCTGGTGCTGGTGCTGCTGCTGCTGCTGCAGCAGCAGCAAAGAGGTGCAGCAGCAGCGCTGGAGAGAGGAGGGCTTCGCAGCAAGAAAATATAATACCCAGTAGACAAAGAGACGAAGAAAGAGTTAAAATATCGCTGGACGAAGTGGAGGTGTGTACACACTAAACAAAGACAGAAAAATATATTAAGTTTAAACTCAGACGTAAAGAGAGACAAGAAATATATATAAAATAACAGATTAATATATATTTATATATATATATATAACACATTAATTTATATATATATAATAACGCATCAATTATATATATACAACACATTAAACAAAGATATAAAGAGAGACAAGAAAAATATATTAAATATATAACACATAATATATATATATATATATATTTATATATATTTCTTTTATTTATTTTTAATTATTTATTGTTTAATTATTTATTGTTTAATTATTTGTTGTTTTATTTATTGTTTTATGCCCCTGTTTGTTTTTTTGTGTCTCTCACTCTCTCTTTATCTTTCTTGTCTGTCTCTTTATTTATCTTTTAGTTTGTTTATTTATATATTTTGCTTTCTTCTTCTGTCTCTTTACTTATGTATATATATATATATATTAATATATATTATATTTATATGTCTCCTTATTGATATACACATTAATACACATATACATACATATACATATATATATATACATATACATATATATATATATATTTATTTATATATTTATATATATATATATATATATATCTATTTTTATGCTTTTCTTTATAGGAAGAATACAAAGTATTATCTCAAGAGCTGCCTCACGGCTACCTCTTAAATGATAAAATAAGTTTAAGTTGCTGGCTGTATGCAGCAGAGTCCTTTCAGCAGATGGGTATTATAGCACCTGTGTCTCCTTCTTTAGCTGTCTCTTCATCTATAGGGGGCCCCCTAGGGAGGGGCCCCCTGGGTACCGGGGGGGGCCCCCTGGGTACTATGGGGGGCCCCCTGGGTACTGGGGGGGGGCCCCTGGGTACTGGGGGGGGCCCCCTGGGTACTGTGGGGGGCCCCCTGGGGGGCCCCCTGGGGGGCCCCCGTATGAATAGAAGAGGTAGACATAGCTTAGGCTGTGGTATTAGGAGAGGAAGCCTTGGTGTCTCTTCTTCTTTGTTATTTTGCTCGCAGAAACGAAGTCAGGTAGGTTTATATATTTATATATGTATATTTATATATTTATATTTATATTTATATATTTATATTTATATTTATATTTATATTTATATTTATATTTATGTTTATGTTTATATTTATATTTATATTTATGTTTATTGTTTGTCTTTTTATTTTTGATGTTTTGTTTGTTTTTTTGTCTCCTTTTTAAGTTGAGTGTCTCCTCTTGTTGTCTGTCTGTTATTTGCTGTCTCTGTTTTTATTTATTTTTTCTCTGTTTTTATTTTTATTTGTTTATATCTTTGCTTATATGTATATATATATATATATCTGTCTCTCTCTGTTTCTGTTTGCTTCTCTCTTTGCTTTTTATATCTGTCTCTATTTTCTATCATGTTGCTGCGTCAATTTCCTTGCTGTGTCTTTGTTGCTGCTACTGCATATTTCTGCTGCTACTGCATATTTCTGCTGCTGCTGCTGCTGCTGCTGCTGCTGCTGCTGCTGCTGCAGGCATGGGAGTTGCAGCTGTCTCCTTCTTTGGTGGAGGCAGCAAGCCGACGTCTGCAGCAGCAACTAATGGAGAGCGACATAAAGGGGCACTTTAGCAGAGGCCTTGAAGCATAAATAAATTTAAACTAATTAGGAGACAACCCTGCAAGCATCTACGTATTCGGGTGTATACGCAGCTCCAGACCTTGAGGTGTATACGCAGCAGCTGAGGCTACCTTCCTTGAGGTGTATCCGCAGCTAGCTAGCTACCTTGAGGTGTATGTACAGCTAGCTAGCTAGCTAGCTAGCTAGCTCTACCTTCTTCAGGTGTATGTACAGCTAGCTACCTCCTTGAGGTGTATGCGCAGCAGCTGCAGGGAGTGGGAGAGTGAGAAGGAGACAGGAAATTGATTGCTGATTGTCTGTCTCTCTTTATCTGTCTCTGTCTCTTTATCTGTCTCTGTCTCTCTCTCTCTCTCTCTGTCTCTCTCTCTCTTTATTTTCAATTAGAGTTCAAGAAAGAAGGAGACAGCAGAGGAGACAGTCTGTTTTTTTTTTCTTTTGCTGCTTCTGGAGAAGAGAGAGATATTGCGTTTAAGGGTTTGCTACTGTTTGGGGTGTATAGGCACCTCAGGCTTTTGTTTCTTTCCTTTGCACCCGAGGCTTTGTCTTTCAAGCGCTGCAGCCGTGCAGCAGAAGCTCCTTTATTTGTCTTGTCTCTTTTTTGCTGCTGCTGCTGCTGCAGCAACAGCAGCAGCGGCAACAGCAGCAGCAACAGGGACAGCAGCAGGGCTGCTGGGGCTTCTTTTGTGGGGTCTCCTCGTTTCATGCATGCGTTTGGTAGCTCCTTTTCGTTTGTTTTGTCTTTATTGTATGCCTTTTGGGGTGTATAGACAGCTGAGGGGGATTTGTTTGCTGCTGTGCTGCTGCCTTTGGTTTGTATGTCTTCGAGGGGCTTTTGCTGCTCCTCTTTATAGGCTGAGACTGCATAGTAGCTGTCTTCTTTTTCTTTTATTTATATTGTATTATTACTGTAGTTATGCATACTCAAAAAAAATATATTATTAATTTATTTATCATTACTCTACTTCTTTTAATCCTCTTCTTTCCGGCGCCCCCCAACCTGCACAGACACCCCAAGGGGCGAGCAACAGCCACTAAAAAAATATTTATTTTTTTTTCTTTACTTTCTTCAAAACCTTTTAATATTCTTTTTCTCTCTTTGTCTTTTTCATTTCTCGTCCTTAATAAATAAAACCCCCAGTTAGTACCAAACAAGACGCAGTAATATAAAGAGAGGCCCCCCTAAACAAAGAAATAAATTAAAGACAAACCCTACAGTTGTTTCTTCTGCTGCTTCTTCAGTAGAAGACCAGCTAACTGCAGGGGTATTTAGTCTCTCTCCTACACAGCTAGCAGCGAGACAGGCGCTAGACGTGGCTAGCTGCAGCTAGCCCCAAGGATCCCTACAGCTAGCTATAGCTAGCTGTAGCTAGCTGTAGCTATCGTAGAAGCTAGCTGCAGGTCTCCCACAGGATCTGAACACCGATGTTTACGCAGTGTATAGGCAGGTAAGGGTAGTGGTGTTTAAGGTATTTTTTGGGTGAAACTGCAGCTTTAAAAGGGTTGACTGTCTTTATTTAAACAATTAAAAGGAGAAGAAAAGAAAAAAATACAGTTATAATGTTTAATTAATTGCAGTTATTAGGCAGTGTCCGATGGTCTCCCAGCAACAGCTACGTCGATATGCAGCTGAGGGAGCTGCGCGGTGTATGCATGGGTAAAATAAGAATAAAGGTTAAATAAATAAGTTAAATTGAATTAAAATATAATTAATTCAAAGAAAATTAACTCAAAATTCCTTAATAAACAAACCTACAAACGCAGCATAGCTAATCTGCTGGGGGAGCCGCAGCAGCGCTGCCACCGCGCCTGAGGCGCTGCGGTGTATATGCAGCTATATTGATATAATTATTCCTTTGGGTTTGTACATATTTTCGTATATATTACTTCTTATTTTATCATTTTAAACACTCTTTCTTCCTTTTATTTCCTTGTTTCCTCCAGATCTCCGTACAGATATACGAGGGTCTACATTATCTGTACCGCTGGGTTTGAGTAGCTCTATAGGTAAGCTGATTTTGTTTCTAAGAAGGACAGCAGCAGCTTTATCTTTATTGGGTTTGTTTTCTACATTAATTAATATGAAAATAACCTTTAAAGGCATTCAAGAAGCTGAGAGTATTGCAGGGATCAGGGGGGCAGCAGCAGCAGCAGCAGCTGGCGAGTCGATGCTGCTGCTGCTCCTTGAGTAGATCTATCTGCTGCTTCTTTGAGCTGTACGGACAGAGAGAAGGAGAATAATTCCTGCAGAGTTTTCTGGGGGCTGTTAAGAGCTGCACTACCTGTTGCTGCGGTCTTGATGCTTCACCCGCTCTCTTAAACCTAAAGGCAAAGCCCCTATTCTTTTTGCTGCTGTATGCATGCCCTCAGAATTCAACACAATGTGCGACTGCTGCTCTTTCGGCCCCACAACGGAGTCTGACGCGGATCAGCTCGTCATCGACAAAGTAAGGAGGAGGATAGCAGCAGCAACTGCTGCTGCTGCTGCAGCTGCTGTTGCTGCTGCTGCTGTTGCTGTTGTTGCTGTTGCTGTTACTGTTACTGATGCTGGTGCTGTTGCTGCTGTTGCTGCTGCTGTTACTGTTAACTGTTATGATGCTGGTGCTGTTGCTGCTGTTACTGCTGCTGCTGCTGTTTTTTCTGCTGCTGCTGCTGCAACAAGGGAAGCAGTAACAGCAAGAATAACAGCATCGGCAGCAGATCAAACTACCTTTCCTTTTCAAATTGTATTTGATTTTGTTTCGCCTCCTTATACATTCTTTTTTTCTGTTGTCCTCCCCTCAATAATAATAATACACTTAAGTCGTTGTATACTTGCAGTCTTTAAATTCTTTATTGAATTAATAACAAAATGCTTATCTTACTTATTTGTTTTTTCTGTTGTTTATTGTGCTGTTAAGATGATACCCTCTGGCCCGAAGAAGCTTCAGCCAGCACTTCCTGCGAATGAAGTTCAAGAAATCCCTCCTCCTGATGATTTGAAGGCGAAGATAACTTTTGCTCCCTCAATTGATTTGTTCTTCGATCCAAAGGAAGAGACGGTTGTGCTTCTTATGGATTTGCCTGGGGCTTCTAAAGATGATATCTGTATTGAAGTAGGCGATGGAGTGCTGTCTATAGGGGGTCCCCGTTCAAAGAGTGAATTAAAGGAGAAATTTGGCTCTCAACTTCGTCTTATTGCTCATGAAAGACCCACAGGATATTACTGCAGAAGATTTCAGCTTCCTTCCAATGCCCTTGAAGATACCATGACAGCGCAGTTCAACGCCGGTGAGTAGATGAGGGAAACCTTCGATAAATTCATCTTTTTTGATAATTTAAATACTTTTTCGGATATTATTTTTAATTTTTAATCATTTTCCATTATTATTATCCCAGCTTTCCCCAGCTTTCCTTGAGGATCGCGCATCGATTTTCAGGTGTATGTGCAAATTTTTCAGGTGTATTGGAAGTGAAATTCAAATGCATTCAGCATCAAGAGAAACGCCGCATTGATATTGGAGCTCCAGCAGCTGAGAAGGCTGATAAAAAGGCAGAAAAAACAAGATAAACATGCATTCTAATCATATTTCGACTACCGCGTTATGAAGCAAACCAACACCTCCAGAGCCCCTCTTCCATATCAGCTGTACATACACCGCAAGAACTGGTACCTTCATGTTATCATCCGTTATCTAGTTCTTTTGTTTATTTATATATATCTATGGAATTGCAGTGCCTGTCAGTTTCCTTTAGAACTTGTTTTGCTGGCGGCCCTTGTGAAGTAGTAGTAGGTGGATGAAGCGGCTGCACTGCATGCAAGCAAGTACCTGGATGCATATACATGCATGAATGCATGCACGCATGCATGCATAGACAGTGTTTGTGCTGTTGTTTGTCTCATCAGCGCCGTTGCCACCCTTCTTTTTATCACGCCGCCGGATGCAATAGCCATTATAATTCCGGGTGTATATTCAGCTTACGGTGTATTGAATTAATGCTGTTTCTCCTCTTCATAGATGCATGTATGCATGCATGCATGCATACATGCACGCACGCACCCGTTGCATGCATTAGTTGCTTGGGAGCCCCCCTCTTTAAAATATTCAGGCGGGAGTGCTTCGAACACCAGAACTATGAACGAAGAGACTGTTGAAGAGGGAGAGAAGGGGTCTCTGCCTCATTCCTCTAGTTGATCGACTCTGAGTCTCCTTATATTCTTCTTTGCTTCTTCTTAAAGCCAGCGAGATATTATAAAAACACCCGAGGAAGTTTATCTATTACTGCAGCTGACTATACACCGCCATTGCGAGGCAGCAGCAGCATAGTGTATACACCTGCAATAAAATATAAATATAAAATAATAAATATAAATGCATTTATTTATTAGATGCAAATAGTTGTTTTAAACAGAAAATAGAAATTCATTTAGTTGTTGTTGTCTTTAAGGGGGGCCCTCAAAGCCACCGTGGGGTCCTTTAAGAGATATCTCTGAAGGAGAGGAAGTTATAGAAGCTTCATTTAAAATATATTTGTATATTAATGCTGCTTTAAAAATAAAGAAAAGATAAAGTTAAATATATCTGCTATCCCTCTGAGGTGTCTATACACCCGGCGAGGTCACTGCTGTTGCCTGTCCCTTTTGTATATCTTTTCCGTCTTTGTATCTCGGGAAATAAACTAAATAATAATGTTTAATTAAATTTATTAGGGTTTTTAATCAATGTTTTATATCAACAATACAACAAACAAAACCTCAAAACCCTCGCCCCCTAACAAAGAGACAGTGGAGACACCAGCAGCTTCAGTGCAGCAGCACAACCCTAGGCCTCGCTTATACATACTCTTTGTAGCAGCAGCAGCAGCAGCATTTGCAGCAGGAGGCTTCTAGCTGTCTACCGCTGCTGCTGTTGCTGCTGTTTCTGCTGCTGCTGCTGCTGCTGCAGCAGCAGCAGCAGCAGGTCACATAATCCTTCATAAACAGCAAAGCTGGAGCAGCACAATCTGCTGCGCTGTACTTCTCTTTGCTTTTATTATTATAACTATTATCATTTGCTGCTAATGCTGCAGAGAACAGAGACCCCCATCTGCTGCTAAGAGGGCGGGCCTGGAGACAATCGGAGAGGAGCCTGCCGCTGTCTCTGTCTCTGTCTCTGTCTCTGTCTCTGTCTCTGTCTCTCTCTGTCTCTCTCTCTCTCTCTCTCTCTTTCTTTGTAGGGTTTTTCCTGCAGCTACACGCGTACAGCAGCAACTCTAATAAAGGTTGCACTCAACAGCCCCTTGATGTGCAGCAGCAGCAGCAACAGAAGCAGAAGCAGAGGCAACTAAAGCAGCAACAGCAGCATCAGCAGCAGCAGCAGAAGCAGCAGCAGAAGCAGCAGCAGAAGCAGCAGCAGAAGTAGCAGCAGGAGCAGCAGCAATAGGAGTAGTAGTAGTGAGTGAAGGCCCGCTATGAACAAACAAAGACATACAAAGCAGCCACAGGAGACAAACTCCTGCGAGCTCGTCGTTCGTCTACCAGAGAGCTTTGAGCAGCAGCAGCAGCAGCAGCAGCAGCGGCAACTACTGCTGCAGCAAGTGCCGCACGAACAAAGGGCTGCTACTCGCCTTCCGCAGAGCTGCTTCTATCGCTCCGCCTATGATGGTGGTGATGCAGGTGCTGCTGCAGCAGAAGCAGCAGCAACAGCTGCAGCAGCAAAAGAAGCAGCAGCTGCTGGCCTTGCAACAGTAGCTTCATCAGGCCCAAGAAAGCAGCAACAGAAACCGCAGCAGCAGCAGCTGCAGCAGCAACTAGGAGTATCTGCTGCATTGAAGCAGCACTCCTCTGGGCGCCCCTCTGGGGTGTCTACTCAGCACAGTAGTGTGGGGCCCCCATCAACTCGTCAGCAGCAGCAGCAGCAGCAGCAACAGCAGCAGCAGCAGCAGCAGCGCAGCAGCAGGGGGGCCCCACGCCAGAAGAGAGATGGGAATGGAGTACGCAGCAGCAACTTTCAGCAGCAGCAGCAGCAACAGCAGCAGCAGCAGCAGATGCGGAGGGCCTCGCCTTCTCCCTGGGGCCGCTCGCCTAAGAGCCTCGCGACTGACTGTGCTTTTGCTGCTGTTAATAGCAGCAGCAGAGACACCTCAGCAAACCGCATGCAATCTGCTTCTCTGTGGGCCCTAAGAAAACAACTAAATGCATTTGTATATAATCAAGGAGACACACAGCTGCTGCACACGCCTCTGCAAGACGCTGCTTCTACAGCAGCAGCAGCAACAGCAGCAGCGCATGCAACAGCTGCAGCAGCAGCAGCAGCAACAGCTGCAGCAGCAACAGAAACAGCACCAGCACCAACAAGAGACAGTAAAGAGAAGAGACGCCTCCATAAAGAAGCAATTAAACCACCGCAGGGGGAGGTAAAGGAGACAGACACTGAAGCGCAGCAGCTCCAGCAGCAGCAGCAGCAGCAGCAGCAGCAGCAGCAGCAGCAGCAGCACCAGAGACAGCATATTCAAGCCCCAAGCTCCGGCTTCCCCAATCCAACAGATATTCCGCAGCAGCAGCTCCAGCAGCAGCTGCAGCAGCAGCAGCACCAAGAGCAGCAGCAGCAGCAGCAGGAAGAGCAGCGTAAGCGAAGTGTTTAGTTTGTATGGTGCCCCAGGTGTCTCTTCATGGGCCCCAGAAGGAGACAGCAGCAGCAGCAGTGGCTTCTGTGGTGCTGCTGTTGCTGCTGTGTGCTGCAGAGTTGCAGCAGCATTTGCTGCAGTCTTCGTTTTATAAGAAGAACAAAAAGAGACAGAAAAACAAACAAAGCTGCGGTGTATGTCTCTTCTTTTTAACTGTCTCTCCTTCATACACCTCTTCCTCCTTCTTGTTGCTCTCACCTATATAAATATAATATATATATATATATATATTATATATATAAAGTATGTGTATATATATGTGTATATATAATATTTATAGATGTAAGCAGAATTAATATAATATAAACATATATATATGTAAATGTATATTGTATATATATGCATATTTACTTATACATGTTCATCTGTATATATATATATATATGCATATATATACATATATATAATAAATCGTATATAATATATATATATATAATAAATCCTATATAATATATATATATATATATATAATAAATCATATGTAATATATAGATATATATATATATATATCAGATGGTTGCTGTCTCTGTCTGTCTCAGTCTGTCTCCTTTTGTCTGTTTGTCTCCTTTCTTCTTGTCTCTCCCTTCACATCTAATATACTACTCGTGTCTCTTTGTTTCTGCTGCTGTTGTTGCTGCTGCTGTTGCTGCTGCTGTTGCTGTTGCTGCAGCTTGCTGCTGCAGCTCCGTTGCAGTGCTGCCAGCACACCGGAGGACATTCAGCTGCGCCAGCAGCAGCAGCAGCAGCGGCACCGACAGCAGCAGCAATAGGCGAGCCTACAGTTAAAGACACAACCATTGAAACAGCAGCAGCAGCCGTTGCTTCCGTGCTGCTAGAGCTGTCCATGGGTGCAGCAACAGGGGCCCCTGCTGCTGCTGCTGCTGCAGCAGGGGCCCCTGTTGCTTCCTCCCTGTTGCAGTGTACATGCACGTCAGCGAGAGAGGCCCCCGTCACTTCGTCAGGCTGCAGCAGCAGCTGCAGCAGCAGCAGCAGAGCTGCTTTGCTCCTGAGTGTAGGCCCCAAAGATAGCAGCACATCTAAATGCATGCTGCTGCTGCTGCTGCTTCTACCAGCAGCAGCAGCAGCAGAAGCAGCAGCAAGTTATTAAAAGCGCAGCAGCAGCAACATGTTATTAGAGTAGTAGCGGCAACAGCACTAAATAGGAGCAGCAGCAGCAGCTTTCCATAGAGCAGCAGCAGCAGCAGCAGCAAACCATTATAGGAGCAGCAGCAGCAATAACAATCTATTATACGAGTAGTATCAGCAGCAGAAGCAGCAGCATAGCAAAGCATAAGAGCACCAGCAGCCCGTTATAGAGCCAACAGAAGCAGCCTATTACAGCAGCAGCAGCAACACCAGCACCAGCAGCAGCAGCAGCAGCAGCAACAGCAGCAGCAGCTGCTGCAGCAGGTGTTCTTCTGGCTTGCAAGTGTGTGCAGGAGATGGAGCTGTCTCTTCCTGCTGTCTCCGCCCCACAGTCAATAATCTCCTGGGGGCCCCACAGGCCCTTGGGGCCCTCAGGTGACATAGGGGGGCCCCCTGCTGCTGCTGCTGCTGCTGCTGCAACTCCTGTATGGGGGGCCCCTGCTGCTGCTCCTGCTGCTGCAACTGTACGGGGGCCCCCTTACTTTACTGCAGCAGCAGCAGGAACACCTGCGGGCCTGTGTGGGGCCCCATGGGAGGAGCTGCGGGCTCCTGCTGCTGCTGCTGCTGCTGCTCTTGAGTGCTGCCGTGCTGCTACTGCTGCTGCTGCTGCTGCTACTGCTGCTGGTGAAGACAGAGAGATAGGAGACCTGCTGCAGTTTCTCGCGAAGCTGCAGCAAACAATCAGCAGCTCTGGAGGGGCTCTTCGAGCCATGGAGTGGCAGCAGCAGCAGCGGCTGCCGCTGCTGCTGCTGCCTGAAACTCAGCAGCAGCAGCAGCACCAGCAACAGCAGCAGCAGCGTGCAGCAGCAAGAAGGGTGCAGCACTCCTTCAAAGAGACAAGGACCCGGCCCATCCACCGCTCTGCAAGCGGAAGCAGGGCAGCAGGGAGGGAAGCACTGCAGCAGCAGCAGCAGAAGCAACAGCAGCAGCAGCAGCAGCAGCAGCAGCAACTGGGCCAAAGCCAACTACGCGGAGAGTCGCAGCTCCTGGCGGCTAGCAGTTTGAAGAGAGGAGGGGAACCCGAAGCAGCAGCAGCAGCAGCAGCAAGAGCAGGAGCAGCAGCAGCAGCAGCAGCAGGAACAGAAGCAACAACAGCAGCAGCAGCAGCAGCACTCCAAAGGGGTGCAGCAACCCAACGAAGCCTCAAGAGACTCAGCAGCGCATATCGCACGGCTGTAAGTGCGCCGACATGGCTAAGGGCCAGCAGCAGCAGCAGCAGCAGCAGCACCACAAAGCCCCCAGCAGCAGCAGCAGGAGCAGCACCAAGAGCAACATCAGGAGCAGCAACAACACCATCAGCAGCAAAATACGCAGCAGCAGCTTCTATGGGTAGGCCCACTTTGCCTTTGCTGTTCCCTGGTCTGAGCCCTGCTGTTGCTGCTACTGCTCCTGCTGCTGCTCCTGCTGCTGCTGCTGTTGCTGCTCCTGTTGCTGCTGCTGCTGGCTTGTCGTTGGTGTCTACCACCGTAGATCAGAGCAACTATCACCCCTCTAGACTACCAGAAGCAGCAGCAGCAGCGGCAACAAATGCTGCAGCAGCAGAAGGCGCGGCAGCAGCAGCAGCAGCAGCAGCAGCAGCAGAAGCAGCAGCAACAGAAGCAGCAGCAGCAGCAGCAGGGGAGGTGGTGAAGACCTCCCGGGAGAGGCCCCCCTTCTTACAGCGCATGCACCTCTGTGTGGAGAGGCTCAGCCGATACAACACCCAGCAGCAGCAGCAGCAGCAGCAGCAGCAGGTGGAGCAAGAACAGGAACAGGAGAAGCTGAGTCAGCAGCAGCAGCTCAATCAGCAGCTACAGCAGCAACTGCTGCAGCAGCAGCAGCTGCAGCACATGCAGCAAGAGCTCACCCTTCTACGCGAACAACAACAGCAGCAGCAAGTGCTCTTGGAGCAGCACCTGCTTCAGCAGCAGTCCCTGCAGCAGCAGCAACAAGAACAGCAGCAGCAGCAGCAACAAGAACAGCAGCAGCAGCAGCAACAAGAGCAGCAGCAGCAGGTGCAACACGAGCAGCAGCAGCTGCAACAAAACGCCAGGGCACCGCACTGCAGACCGGAGCAAACCGAAGCTATTGCTGTTTCCTCTCCAGCAGCAAGACACACAAGACAGCAGCAGCAGCTGCAGCAGCAGCAGCAGCAGCATGATCCGTTAGATTTGCTGCGAGTGAAGAGCCCTGCTGCAGCTGCCTCCCGTTTGAGCCCCCCAGCCTCGCCACCCCACAGCACCGAAAGAAGGCGCATGCAACAGCGAATAGGAGCAGCAGCAACAACAACAGCAGCAGCAGCAGCAGCAGCAGCAGCACCGAGGCCAGTGTCTGCATCCACTACCCAGGGCCCCCACACAAGTCGAAAGTGTGCTGCCTGCCACCCTCAAGGAGACACAGCCTGCTGCTGCAGCAGCTGCAGCAGCTGCAACAGCTGCAGCAAGACCTCTAGCGGCGCATACACCCTCCTGCGTGGGAGGCAGCAACAGCAGCAACAGCAGCAACAGCAGCAACAGCAGAAGCAGCAGCAAAAAGCTCCGTGGGGTGGTAACCCTCGAACCGCCGTCTCTAGCAGCCCCAGTTATCGACTGCAGCAGCAGCAACACAGCTTGAAGCAGCAGCTGCAGCAGCTGCAGCAGCAACAGCAGCAGCAGCAAGAGCAGCAGCAGCTGCTTGTGCTGGCCCTGCCTTCCACCCCAAGGCAGCGGATTCTTCTCTGTGGTACAGCAGACGCAGCAGCAAAAGGTTCGCTGCAATTGTCGCAGCAGCAGCAGCAGGGTTTGCTGCATCTGCTGCAGCAGAGAGCCGCAGGCAGCTGGAGGCAGGCAACAGCAAGAGACACTGCAAGAGGACCCCTGCAGCAGCAGCAGAAGCAGCAGCAGCAGCTGCTGTTGGAGCACATGCAGCGACAGCAGCACAGGCGCAGCTATTCTGAAGGCAGACGCACAAGACTGCCCTTGCAGCAGCAGCAGCAGCAGCAGCAACAGCAGCAACTGCAACAAAACCTGCTGGGGGACTGCCCCGGTATCAGCGACACGAGCAGCAACTGCAGCAGCTACTGCTGCTGCTGCAATGGATGCTGCAGCTGCGACAGCGGAGGCAGCACCTGCTCCAGTGGCAGCAGCAGCATCTCAGCAGCAGCGGGAATGCTGTGCAGCAGGTCGCTGCAGCAGCAGCAAAATGATGACGCCAGCTGTCTAGACACCCCAATCACACCGCAGCAGAAACAAGCCATGATCGACGAGCTCCTAGAAATGAGACTCAAAGCAGTGCAGCAGCAGCAGCAGCAGCAACAGCAGCAGCAGCAGCAGCAATATCAGCGGCAACAGCAGCAGCAGCACTACCCGCTGATGCACAGTCAAACACCAGATAACCCTGCTGCAGCAGCAGCAGCTGGAGCTGCTGTTGCTGCTGCTGCGCCTGCTATGGACACTACAGCAGCAGCAGGCCCTATTGCCCCAGCAGCAAAACGGGGTGTCTCTGCACCTCCTCACTTCTGCAGCAACTTCGCAGAAGCAGCAAACCCAGAAGCGGCAGCAGCTGCTGCTGCTGTAGCTGCAGCAGCAGCTGCTGCAGCGGAAGCAGCAGGGGTGGCAGCAGCAGCACCGCCGGCACCCGACGCAGCAGCAAAGCAGCAGCAGAATCTGCAGCCCTGTGCATGCGGCCTTGGCTTTCCCCCTGCTGTTACTCCTGCTGCAGTTGCTGCTGCTGCTGCTGCTGCTGCTTCTCGCTGGAATGTCTCCCTGGCTGGTAGCTGCAGCGAGCCCGTGCTGCCATCTGCAGCAGCAGCAGCAGCAACAGCAGCAACAGCAGCAGCAGCAGCAGAGCGATGCACTGCTCAACGCCGCTGGGCGCAGGCAATACAAAGTTTGCTGCTAGCAGCACACTCCAGCACACCCCTGCCTGCTGCTGCTGCTGCTGCTGCTGCTGATCCTTTTGCTGGTGATGCTGCTGTTCCACCGCCTGCAGCAGCAGCTGCTGCAGCAGCAGCAGCAACGTTTTCTAAAGGAGAGCAGACAGCAGCAGCAGTAACTAAACTCGGCTCAGTCCTTCAACTAAAGCAGCAAGAGCCTGCTCAGCAGCAGCAGCAGCAGCAGCAGAAGCAGCAGGAGCAGCTGCTGCAGCAAGAGCAGAAACAGCAACAGCAGCAGCAACAACAGCAGCAGCAGCAACATTCGACTCCAGGTACAGAATGGTGCGAGGTGCAGCAGCAAGACAACCCAATGGGACAGCAGCAGCAACAGCAGCAAGAGCAGCAGCAGCAGGGTCAACAGCAGCAGCAAGAGCAGCAGCAGAAAGAGCAAGAGCGGCAACCGCAGCCGCAGCAGCAGCAAGAAGAGCAACAGCAGCAACAACAGAGCAGTGCATCGCTGCAGCAGCAGCAAGCCCTGCAGCAGCAGCAGCAGGTCCTGCAGCAGCAAGAGACAGCAGAAGAACGGGAACTGCTGCAGCAAGCACAAGAACCGACAAAGCACCAAGTATACGAGCGACAGCAGCAACAGCAACAGCAGCAGCAACAGCAGCAGCAGCAACAGCAGCAGCAGCAGAGGGCGAAGGACTCTATGGAGCCCGTTCAGATAGCAGCAAGCCGAAGGGTCTCCTCTGTGGCTTCTCAGGTGTCTCCTCAGCAGTCAAATGAAGTGTCTCCTCGCTTATCTAATCACCTCCTACTGCAGCAGCAGCAGCAGCAGCTACAGCAGCAGCAGCAGCAACAGCAGCTGCAGCAGCTGCAGCAGCAACAGCAGCTGCAGCAGCTGCAGCAGCAACAGCAGCTGCAGCAAATATGCTGGGAAGCTGCAGAGGAGACAGACAAGAAGGCGCTTACTCAGTGGAGACCCCAGCAGCAGAACAGCAGGGAGGAACAACAGAGCCCCCCAGGCAGCAGCAGCAGCAGCAGCAGCAGCAGCAGCGGCAGGGGGCAGCAGCAAACCAACAGTCGATGGGAAGCTGAAGATATTCCTCCTGCCGCAACACCTGCTGCTGCTGTTGTTGCTGCTGGTGCTGCTGCAGGGCCCACAGTCTTCTTGGGCCACAGGAGGAAACAGCAGCAGCAGCAGCAGCAGCTGCAGCAGCAGCAGCAACAGCAACAGCAGGGTAACTTTCATGAAGACAGAACAGTGTTGGTCTCAAGACCGAAGTGGCAGCAGCAACAGCAACAGCAACAGCAGCAGCAGCAGCAGCAGCAACAACAATCTCAAGAGCCTCGCGTGCAGCAGCAACCGCAACAGCAGCAGCAAAAGCAGGAGCGCCAGGAGCAGCTGCAACGACAGCAGTGGCAGCAGCCCCAGCATCAGCAGCAGCAACAGCAGCAGCAGCAGCAGCAGCAGCAGCAACAGGGGCAGCGTGAAAGCTATGGGGCGCATGCATCAGCAGATGGAAGCCCCAAAAGGCGTCTGCCTCGCCCAGTGAGCGCCCCTCAGTACCCAGCAGCAGCAGCAGCAGCAGCAGCAGCGGGAGCAGCAGCAGGAGCAGGAGCAGCAGAAGCAGCAGGAACGGTGGTGGTGGGGAGACACAGCAGCAGGGCCCCTAGGGGCCCCCTACGCCTACCTGTGAATAATACCTGCGTCTCAAGCCACACAATAGGGGCCCCTAAGAAAAGAGAGACAACAAAAGAGAGACAGATGAAGACAGAAGGCTTCTCCTGTGTGGGGCCCCAGAGAGAGGTATCTGAGAGACAGCAACAAGAAGCTGCTGCTCCTCCCGCTGAGGCAAGGCAGCTGCAGCAGCAGCTGCTCGAGAGGCAGCAGCAAGTGCTGCAGCAACAGCAGCAGGTGCTGCAGCAGCAACAACAGCTACTGTTGCAGCGGCAGCAGCAAAACTTAATAAACGAAGACATCGACAAGGTCTTGGGTCTTCTTATGAAGCAGCAGCAGCAGCCCTCACTAACGCATGCAACAGGAGCACCAACGAGCCCGGGAGCAGCAGCAGCAACAAGCCCCACAGCAGCTGCAGCAGCAGCAGGAGCATCAAGCCCCACAGCAGCTGCAGCAGACTCCCCCAGCAGCAGCCCCAGCAGCAACTGGTCTGGTAGCATTAGCTCAGGCGAGGTTATTGTTACACCTGCAACCCATAGACAGTTCGTTTGCATGCAAGCAAACAGCCTGGGGGCCCTTGGGGGGCCTCCAGCAGGGTACTCATGGGGGCCCCCAAGGGGGGGCCCCCCTGGGGGGCCCCCAGGAGGGTACTCAGGGTACTCAGGGGGGCCCTTGGCTAGCGGCAATATTCTTTCACTGGGAAGGGGGCCCCCTATGAATAAGCCTCCTCATGGTGCTGCTGCTCTGCAGCTGCTGCAGAGCAGCCCAGATGCTGCAGCAAAAGCTGCAGCAGAAGCAGCATCAAGCAGCAGCAGCAGCACAGGGTTGCAAGGCTTACGGGTGCTTGTACCCCTGCAGCGCACAGGGGCCCTCACGGGGCCCCTTTAGGGGCCCCCTATAGGGGCCTCTAGAGATATCGTGATTAACTTTAAGTTTACTTGTCTCTTTTTTTTTATTACTTTTGTCTGAAGAGTTTATCTCCCTCAGCATGCTTGCAGCAGAGGCATATATTATAAATAAACCCCTCTATATAACCCAACTCAACTAATATCTTCTCCTGAAGGGGGGCCCCCCCCGTCAAGATAACTGTTTACTTTCTAAAGAGGCGGGGGCCCCCCCTAAGGTGACCCCAACGTGGCTGCCTATACAGTAAATAGGGGGCCCCCTAGGTGTCTCAATGCTGTCTGCTTATACCCTAGACATGAATCTATCTGCAGCCTAAGTAGGGGCCCACCTAAGTATGTCTCTGCATGCAGAAAGACAGACGTAAAGAGGGGGGCCCCCTACATCTCTCACTGCGCTATAGGGGGCCCCCAGGGCCCCTTCTCTGACTAAGGCAGTAAATATATAATAACCCCTCGAGCAGCAATGTAGAAATGTCTTTTTAAAAGAAAGGTTTTTGTTTGTTATGAGAGAAACAAAACAACACAGCCTACCGTCTCTGATACAGTTGGTGGTGCCTCTGGGGGGCCCCGGTGTCTATACACTGTATAAACACTTCACCCAGCTCTCACAAAGAAGGGGGCCCCCCCTCATCCATTTCGATTCAGGGGGCCCCCCAGAGATAAGAGAGGGGCCCCCCTGCAGGTTACACTGGAAATGCAGCATTAGCATCATAGCATAGCAGAGCAGTTGCAGGTGTGTTCGGGATCGGGATCGTGTGGGATCGGGAGCAGGATCGGGATCGTGTGGGGTTGGGATCGGGATCGTGTGGGGTTGGGATCGGGATCGTGTTTAGTTGGTTTGTTGTTGCCTCCAATTTGGGTTGACAGCATCGAGTGCTTCAACATATTTTTGTTTTGCTGTTTCTTTATCCATTCCTTTGCACTCTTCCCAGGCCTTCCACTTCTGTTTAGCTTCAAGTTGATAGAAAGAAGGCTGAGGAGCGTTATTATCTCCTTCTGTTGCTTGTTTATACAGCCCATAGAAACGCAGCTTTTGTTCAGTAGACGGTGTCTGTGACCCCTGCGCAGGTTTTCGTACAAACTCCACCGCCTTATCGAAGTCAGAAGCCATTTGGATATATTTATTTTTAAAAAAACAAAAAAAAACAAAAAAAAATTTACAAAGCCGTCAGAAATAACTTGAAATAGAGTACTCGCTGGCCGGCATGCATACACCGGAAGAGAGGGGTAAGAAAGAGGAATAAGAGGCAGAAATAAATTAAATTATTTGTCTTTATTTGTTAATTTATCAATAATATTTCAAAAGAAATATAAATTAAACAATACACATCTCAATGTACACTTCAACCTCCCGTCTCGGCCTCAAACGCTGCTGCTGTTCCAGGGTTAGAGAGAGAGAGAGGTAGCTGACAGAAGAAGGCTAAAGTAAATAACTAATTTATTTATTTTTAGATTAATTTTTAAATAAAAAGAATTAATAAACTCAATTATTTGTAAGCAATACACCTGAGGAGAATACTACACACAAATATCAGCGAGAAGCTACAAGACAGCGACAGTTTGCTGCAACAGCAGCAACAACAGCAGCAATAGCAGCAGCAGCAACAACAGCAGCAGCAATAGCAGCAGCCACAGCAGTAACAACAACAATAGCAGCAATTGCAGCAGCAATAGCAGCAGCAGCAATTGCAGCAGCAATAGCATGCGTCCTCTTCTCTATAGAAATATGTCTTCACCACTGGTTGCCTCCCCCTATATATAATATATCTATTTACACAATATATAATAAATCGCTTAAAATATATTATATATATCTAAAAATATAATCTTCTACACCGAGACATATGTTTACAAATATATATATATATATATATATGTATATTATTGAGTTATATATAATCCTATATATAACAGTAAAAAGGTATAGCTGCTTCTGTACATTGAATATAATATACATATTTATATATATTTTATATAACATATATTTATATTTAATATAATATATATATATATCTATTTATATATATCTAGCATTATATACCACTCAATATATACAGATATATATTTGTACACATATATCTCCGTGTTAACGTTTATATATATACATATATATATATTAATATATATATATTATATGTATAATATATGCATCTGTATATATATATTATTTATATTATATATATTATATCTATATTATATTTTATATATATCACCGCTTTGCTGTTCTTCGGCTTTGTTTGCCGTAGCCACCCGAACAAAAATAAATACAAACGCAACAACTTGAAACAAAAAATATGAATAGGTTTATGTTTACTTATTATTAATTTAATATATATATATATATCTATATATATATATGTGTATATATATATATATATATATATAGACGGCAGCAAGATAGACGCGATGTGCAGGGATACT